ACCTAGAAACTAAAGAAACCTTGTAAAGGATGGATTAGTGCTATTGTAGAGAAAATGCTTGCAATTTCATAAAGAATTTTTCATTTCGTAAGAATTAAGCACTGAAGTCCTTCCTTTTGTTTATTCACCGTTCTTCTGATGTCTTTTCCTCCCGCAATTTAGCTAACAAAACTATTAATACCTTTCTCCAAGATAATTTGATTGATGTAAATGCTTGAAGTTAATGATAACTACATTTTATCTACCACTTATAACTTGTTGTTTGAAACAGTTCTGTTGAAGTGATCTATTATCTCCCCGATGCAAATGATGGGTTGCCAAAGTAAGTAAATGATTCTTACGAAAATTGTTGTGATGATTCTTACGAGAATCTTACAGTGATCATTTTATACCATTTCAAACATTCACTAAATTACTTCCTAAGCCATATCAATTTTATATAAATGTCAAAAACAAAGAAATTTATGAAAGTAGAAATATGACAAACTATGTAAAGGATCAGCGTTTCTGATTAATTTTTAACTCCAAGTTACTAGCCAATAATTTTCTGATAATAATAATAAATAATGGTAACAATAAATTACCGTTCTTTTAATCCCACATTTCATTTATTAAATATATCACTTAATATTCTTATCATGTTTTTAGGTGGAAAAATTTTGCACTGTCTTTGTTTGTTTGATTCATCAAACATTTTTTGTCATAATGTTTAATCAGCATTAGAGAGGTACGGTTTATGCATCGACGTGCAAAGGATGAGATGTAAGATAATATTTGTTTATTTAATTTATTCCTTAGCTGAGCGTCGTAGAATTTGCATATTGATAATAATCTTATGGACTTTCAGTTTGAATTACTACCAATCCTAAAAGATTATTAATTATTCCCATCAGATCAAATTTATGCAAAGATAAACGCAAATAACATTTGTTTGGCCTAGTATAATTGCAAAGTAATTCTCAGATTGAATATAACTTTCCTAGCAGATTTTTCTCAACCAAACGGAAAATTATAATTGATACAAATAATTGCACTACCATCAAATTATTGCAATTACTAATCAAAGGATTCACTCTATTTTTAATTAATTAAACCTAACAACTCATATATTATAAATATTATGATGAGCTTATAAATATATGGCGAGTTCTCAATTATATATGTCCATCATGAACTTTAAAAAGTGATCCTGTCATACATAGAAAAGTTTTCTAGGGATAAACGACATGCAAAGATAAGTCAGTAACATGAAAAAATTTCAAGAATTGAAACTATCTCAGCATCTATATTTTTCCAAACCAATATATATTTATTATCCATATTTTCTCTCAAGAATTTAAGAATCAATTGTTTACCCTAAACGGTACGGTTATGATTAAAATGTAATTATGCAATCAAAAAAATGTCCTATCAAATATTATGGAATATTAATACCAAAACAAAGTTTCGTTGATTATATTTATCGCAGTATAAATTTTGGAATAGAATTTATGCTTAATATTGGAGAGTATAATGTTAACTTTTAATGAAAACATACAGCGAATATTGATAAAGCAAAAGAAAAAGAAAGCGAGTATGTAAATCAAGTACAGTTTAAATAATTAATCTCAATTTTTTTCACAAATGGCAAACATGGCTTTATTTGAAGAAGTTAGTATTCTCATGTTGGTGATACAAGTTCAATACAATGATAATTCAATGATAGGTTGCAAACAAAACATGCAAGTGATTTTGCATATATATTATACAACAATTAAAACATAGCCACTTTTAATTTTATTAATGAAATTTTGCGTAATTTACTACGCATTTGTTGTATTAATTTAATAAATAAAAAATGTAACTACTAGAAATGTTTGAAATTAGAATAAAATAACAGATATGATTAATTCATTTATCACTTGTAAACTCAATAATAAATAAAAATAATATGATAAATGCAATTGGGTAAGGGCAAAAATTAGGAACAAATTTATCATTCTGTATTATCTAGGCATAATAAAAAGCAAGTAATGGAAGACGAAAAGGTTGAAGATTAGGTGTAATTTCTCAAAATTGCATCGCTTTGCGCATTTGGTTTAATATTTTTTGTTTGCTAATGAAAAACGAAGTCTTATGATATTTTCACCTTATCACATTGTTGCAATGTGTAAAAATTTATCTTTTATTACACAATAATTACTGTAACACCCGGATGTCATCAGTTTGACAAAAAAAAATGATGTAAGACTAAATTTTTCATTTCACTAGCGCAACCTGATTATTTTATATTACCATGATTGTATCAGGACTACCTCTTTACAGCAATTTTAAGGAAGGCAGTACTATAAAGGTTTCAATAATTGTTGCAGAAGTTATTAGTGATTGTATGCCATTTCTTCACTGCTATTTTGTAATTCAGTTTGCAATAATAAGTACAAAGAATATTTTGATGGTTATCATTTTATTGATAGGCTGTAAAAAAAAAGATTAATCTTATCAAAAAAGATCGAAATAACTTTATCGAGAGAAGACTCACTGTTAACAATCTATTTATATCACTGATAATTTTTATCTTCAAAATTCTTTAGAGCTCATTAATCAGTTCGTCAATGATTTTACATTTTATTCCTTCTTTATTTTATACAACCATATAATCATTAAATATGATAATTGATCATTTTGTAATATTTTGCTACGATTCTGAAATTGAAGAGCATATAACTGGTCGTATGCCTTTGTGTATTCTATTTTATAATGGCCATTTCCAATGATAAGTGCAATGATTAGGCAGAAGGTTATCACATTAATAAATTGTAAAAAATAAATTTTATCAGCATCAATCAAAATAATTTTATCAAAGAGTAAGCATCAGTGCTTCCCAATAATCTATTTATATCATTGTTGTTTACCATTTTTTGGAGTCCATCACCGATAGTTATACTTTACTTTTCCTTCATTTCTTCTTCCATCTAATCAGTAAACAGATTAGTGCCACTTTGTAGTATATTATAAGGCTTCTGACTCTTCCGTACAGATATAATATGAAGTAATCAATGTTGTGAAGAACCAACAAAGGTAAGGCATTAGCGGATTCTGAAGACTTCCTCCTTTTTTAAAGGACGACGATATGAAAGACCGAGAAAGGTAAGCTTTTAAAGGTAAGTTCTTCTTTCTTGCAAAGTTTAAAGAAGGCAGCATCATGGGAAACCAAAGAGGCTTCAAGATCTATAAATACTGTATGCGCTTATAATACTTTTTTACAACATCTATTTGCAATGGTAAGTGCAAAGGTCATGTAGATGATTAGCGTATTGATGGATATTGTCAAATAAATTTTGTCGAAATAACTTCGTCGAAAAAGGTTAATAGCTGAATTATTTCAACAATCTCATCTCTCAACAATTTAACAAAAAAAAGGAAAGGAAAAAATTCCACAGTTCATTAAAACACTGTCGCTTCAGGGTTGTGAAAAAAATTTCATTTTTACAGAAACTTGAAAAAAAACCGAGTATAATTTTCAATACTAATATCACGTTGCGCATAAATTAACATCTCTTTTGTTAATAAGAACTTTTTTATTTTATGATATTGTTGCAATGCGTCAAAATTTATCTTTTAGTATACAAAATAATTACTGTAATACTTAGATGTTATCAGTTTAATAAGAAAAGAAAAAGTCATTTTATGTATACTTCGCAAAGATATTTTATTAACAGAATTTTAACAATTTCTTACTTTCATAGCAGTTGCACAAAATTAGAAACTAATATGAAGTTGGAATAAATCATATATATTTGTGTACATTATTTATTTTTTTGTAAATGATAAGCGCAAAAATCACACAAATGATATTATCACGTGACTGATTCTGAGAAGTGTATCTTATCAAAAAAAAAAAAAAAAAAATGCCAAAATAATTTTATCATAAAACAATTCCCTCTCCTTACTTCTTTCATTTTTCCATTAAAACATAATGTTTTCAGTAATTTATTAATGATTTGTGCATTGAGTTGAAAAAGAAAAGCACATTTTTCTATTGAAGACAGGTCTATCTCATCGTTAAATATTACCACCATTCATATTCATTCGTCTACATTCCATTTACCTGTCCAATGATATTGTTTATTTACTTTCATTTCATTTTCTCCTCTTTCTTCCTTCCTTCCTTACTTATTTACTTCTTTTCCTCTTTCTTCCACTTATAATTTACATTAATTAATACACATGTTGATTTGTGTAATTTTTTTTTAAGTTTAAAAACTACCACAGAACTATTTTATTATAGTATAGTTTAAATCGAAAACTACTACAGAACTAATTATAAGTGTAATTTATGTCTTCAATTATTTGGCATCTTCTTTTCCATTACACTTTAATCTAAATCTAAACAGTGCTACATAATGCGAATAAAAAAAAGAAATTGAAAAGAAGACAAACTTAGTTGGAAGAAATAAAACTTAAAACAAGGAATGATTTTTCGTTCTTCTGGTAAGAGCATTATACCTGCCTGTCATGTCACATTGTCACTTCTTAGCTACTCGCACGTAGCATTCGGGGTGATGGCATTAGTACTATTTCATTAGACCTTTGACTATATTTTCAGTTTCTTCATTGAAATTTAAAGAGGACATTGATATTTGTCATGATAGATGCTTATGCTGAAAGTGATTTCAATTTTTCATTTTTTTTTCTTTTTTTTTTTATTTTTTTCTAATAAAAACATTTTTCTTCTATTTTTAAAAACTTACTTTTGTGAAATTTGACTAAAATTTAAGGAAATGACATTTCTTATGCGAATCTAAGTTTTGCTTAGATAGAATTAATAGCGAATGTCAAATACAGAATTGTTTGAAATAACCAATGTAAATCATAAATCATTTTACTCGTTTAAAATAAGGAGAAGCTAAAATGAATTAATGTCATCGCTACTTAACGATGGTATCGTATTTGGGCTGTCTTTTTTTTTAAAAAAATATCAACTACCTGCTAGTTTTTCTGAATTATGCAGCAAGTTGAAAATGTCAACATTGGTAGAATTATTTCGTAAAGCAGCAAATCAAGCGGAACTCAAATCAAAAATTGTTGTTTGTGATGGAGATACCAAGTGGACGTTGGCTGAATTGGATACTATGTCGGAAAAGTTGGCAAAACATTTTGTGGAAAAATACGGTGCTAAAAGAGGAGACTGTATTGGCATCTATATGAACAAATGCGCATTCTATGCATTAGCCTATACGGCTGCCCTAAAAGCTGGTCAATTCTTGTGCTTATCAAAATATATTTCTTGAAAGTTGGAAATCAGATTTTTTTTTTTCTAACCATCTGATGAAGTTAAACGTCACAATATAGCATTGAAAAATAGCAATAATTAGAGTTATACATACATATAAATGAGATGATAGATCACAAATGACAATAACTGAGATTAGATAACACAAATGACAATAAATGAGGTTACATTGTAAATAATAATGACTGAGTGGTATATCACAAATAATAGTACCTAAAATCGTGCATCTGTAGAAAAATTGAAGAAATCGAAATTAATAAGAGTTCTGTCAAAAATATACCAATAATAACACCAAAAAAGTTAATATAGTTAAACTTTATTTCCTCCTTTCATAATGTCAGTCATATCGATAAGGAAAAAAGATTGCAAGTCAGAAACAAATTGAAAAAATATTGAAAATTTTTACATATTTCAATTATTATTAATGTCATGCAAAGAAAATTTCTTTTAAGCAATGGCTTTAAACAATATTTTTTATAGGCTGTGCTTATCTTCCTTTGGACGTCTTCTATCCACAACCATTGTTAATTGATATTATCACGGAAATTAAACCAGTAGTCATTTGCTCAACACCAGACATTGCTAATTCTATTTCAGGTGGAACAGATATTTGCAACTTTTTTTTTTACTAAAAATTTTACTTAAATTTATTATAATTTTTACTACATATATTTTTCTTACTAATACTTTTTTATGATGGTTTCAATTTCAATTTTAGATTTGGCACCGATGTATGTATTTGGTTCTTCCCTTCCCAATCCATCACAGTCCATTAAATTACCTGAAATCGGCCCTGATGATCGTGCATATATCGTTTATAGCTCTGGCACAACCGGAAAACCAAAAGGTGCTCCTTCATTTCTTTCTTTGAGGAGGTTTTTTTTTTTTTTTTAAACAATAACATAATATATATCATAGTGAAATAAGACTTAGTTTCAAATAATTAATAATGAAATTGTTTAATTGAATATTTATTTAAATAATAAATTCACAATTTCTGATATTGAAACTGCATGCATTTTGAAACTTTTGAATAGCTCAAAAAATAAGGGTGTGAAACATTGTAATAAAACTTTCGAATCATTTTAAGGTATCGAATGTCCACATCGTGGTGCTGCATTTTCATATGAATATCGATTTGTGAAATATCCATATGTGGAAAATGAACGAGAGGCTTGTAATGTATTTTTTGTTTGGGAATTATTCAGACCGATTCTTCAAGGTTTATTTCATTTCAAATTTATCATTTTTCACAAAACTTAACATTTATTAAAGCATTAAAGTAAATCAAGACAAAATAATTAATAATGCAGCATAATTGTAAAACCATCATTAAATAATTATCAATTGAATTAAGAATTTTTTAATATCTGGCTAAAATTCATATAATTCAGAACAATAAGGTAAGCCAAAAATATAAAAAATCGTGGAAGAGATCATTGTAAGATTGATAAATGATAAACTAAATAAATAAATGGTCACTAAAGAATTATTATTTCATTATCTCAAAGATTGCCTCCAATGTTGCAAATGAAGGAAGTACAGTAAAATAAGAAATTCAGGAGTTGAAATGTATGTGATACCAGATAACGTCATCTATGATTTACCTGAATTATGCCGTTTCTTGAGTACTCATAAAATTACACGAATGATGTTTACTCCATCATTGCTAGAAGCTGTCCTTGATACCCATTCTGATGAAACAATTCGATCCACATTTCGTACTTTCCGGTATCATTTCAAAACACTTTAAGATCTCTTATGCATATGTAACGATGGTACAAACGTACTAAATAACAATATCGCATAAGTTAGCTAATTTAGTTAATCTTAAAATCGTTATTCACGCAATAGTACTTTATGTGATATTCTTAATAATCAGTTAGCCTGCAAAATTCCTGTTTTCTAGGACAATACTTTTGTGCGGTGAAGTAGTAACATATCTCTTACTGAAACGAATCCTCGATATCTTACCTAAAATGGAAGCAAGTTTTCTTTCTGTATTTCTTTTCGAAGTAATTTTTTTTTAAACAAACACATTCTTTTGACGCAAAATTGTGATCTTTCTCGATTGAAAAATATTTGACAATATGATATTTTCATCAATTTTGTTTAATTAACTAATTAACCATGTTTAGATCTTGAATTTGTATAGCATTTCTGAATGTCACGATGTGTCTTACTCGAACCTCACAGAGGTCTTCTACACCCAACCATCAAGAAAATATGCACCAGTTGGAAAAGTGATTCCTGGAGTAAAGGTTCATGTCATTGATGTTTCGGAAGGATTGAAAGAAGTACCAATGGGAGTTCCTGGAGAGGTAGATAATATTCTTTCTTTTGTTAAAATATATAAATCATTACTAGAACTGTTTTCTAAAAGTAAATTTCAAAAATATTATCAAATAATTGAATCAAAAATTGTTTGTTTCTCTTCTACTCAAAATGACGAACGAAAAAAAAAAAAATGATTTGTTTTCATTTTCCGAGTTCCTGTAAAATAAAACGTTTATGAAATAAGATACATTTGGATCATATTTAATAATTTTTAATACATCAATTCATATGTTATAGATTTTTGTGGGTGGACCAGCACTTGCAATTGGGTATATTAATCGACCAGAGTTAAACCAACATCGCTTTATAACTGTACCAGATGAATTACGAGATCAGTTAGGTGATCGTTTGTATAGAACAGGCGATTGGGGATATTTACTACCTAATTCAGTTTTGGAAATTTGTGGACGATGCGATACGATGGTGAAAATCCGTGGTTACAGCATCGAAATTTTGGTTCGTTTTATACCTTCACTTATATCAATCATTATTATTAATTTAGAATAACATTTTGCAAATTGCAAATTTTATTGTTTAGCACTTAAATAGTTCAATTTCATTATATATATATAATTCATAGGCTGTGGAATCAGTAATTTTGGAATTACCGTACGTGAAATCATGCGTGGTGATAAGCGTTGGTGCAGAGGGAGATGACAAGCAGCTTGCAGCATATGTTGTATTGAAGGAGAATGTTAGTAGGAAACAAATGAGAGCTGATTTAAAAAAGCAATTACCATTTTATATGGTACCCACCTATTTCGTCTATCTAGCCAGGTATATTCGAATTTATTAAAATTTAGCTTAACTGCTAAGACATAAAATAAATATTAGAAGCATACACAAAAAAATGAAAAAATATAGCATTAAATATTGTTTGAAAAAAAAATAATAAAAAGCAAAAACGAATAGAAATGTATAGATTGTTACAATGTGTTGAAAGTAGGGAATGAAAAGTTATGTTTATACTTGTAATTTATAGGTAATATAATCTCTTTAAATACGGAACGAATTTTGCAGCTTGCCAGTAGTACCAGCATCATCAAAAGTTGACAAAAAAGCATTGCCACCTGTTGATCAGCAAAAAGATGCGGTAGAAGCAAGTGCTCTTCCAAAAACTGCAACAGAAGAACGATTAGCAAAAATATGGGCCGAAGTGTTATCACGGACTGCCGTCGATATTCAAGAAAGCTTTTTTGATCTTGGAGGGTAAATTTTAAAATATAAAATCAAAACTAGTTCCTTTCATCAAATTATGCTAAACTATTCGTTGTTTATCTTTTTCTTGGGATCAGAAATGAGATTAATTAGCAATTGAAATATTCCGGAAAAAGAACTTCCACATGACTGGTGCAAAAATACAAAAAATGTAATTTGTATTCATACTTTATTTATAATTGCTTTAGAATATAAGATAAGAAATGTTCCACTATTTACCAGTAGTGCCAGCATTTTTTAAAATTTGATAAAAAGGTGCAATAACTTTTCCCACACATTTGATATAGCGTATAGATGCTATACAGTCTTTTTCTTTTCCTTGCTGTTTGATTTTTTCCGACTTCAAATTTTGGATTTTTTTTGGTGCGCAAATACAACTATATTGTATTATTAGAAAGATTAGAAAGAGTAACTACTGTATATTGTAGACATTCATTGATGGCAGCTCGTTTGTTGCATAAAATTGAGGAAGAATTTGGCATACAGTTGAATATGCGGGAATTATTCGCTACACCAACTGTATCATCACTAGCTCGACGTATCGATCATAAGGATGACAGTGATAATTTGGAACATGTTGATTTAGCACATCAAGTTAACATTCATGATTTCAAGGATAACGTGTATGTTTGAATTTTATAAATTTTAAATTGATAATAAAGAAGTGAAAAAGTAATAGCGTAAGTGATAAGCATACTTAACATCTTTGACACCGAGAAATATAAACAAAGAATGATGAAAATGAAGGCAAAATAAAGATGAAATTAAAAATAAACATAAATGAGAAAATCAATAATTGCCTTATTTAGTAAAGGTTAAAAACGAATGCTTAAAACAATCTTACGTGTAAATTTTTTGTCTAATGCAATATTTTTTTAAATTATTTTAAAAAAATGAAAAGTTGATTAAAATTAGAAAAAGAGCTGAATTTAAATCAATACGAAGATGAATAAAAAATATTTTGTTGTGAAAAAATTTAAACCTTTATATATTTGAATTATTACAGGATGGACTTACACTTACGCGCTTTTTGGCGCTCTACCGATATGGATTATAGCTTTTCACGTGACATTGTATTGCTAACTGGTGTTACTGGTTTTATTGGTTCTCATATACTTGTCAAACTTCTACTTACAACTGAGGTTATCGATTGTTCTTTGTAATACTTTGGCTTTCTGTAATGTTTCTTGAACAGATTTTTATAAATCAGTGATGATGTCCTTTATTTTTTTCTTTTTTTATCTGAACATTAGGTATTAAATGCTGGCGATACATGAATGAATGGACAGCTAACTTAATTCTATTGCTAAAGAAGGTATTGCTTCATAAAAAAGGTTGAAGTTTAAAAATTCATTAATGAGAATTTCAGATGCGAGTTATTTGTTTGATTCGAGAAAGCGCAGGGGTTACCACACAATCTAGGCTCATCGACAGTATCGAGAAGATGGGTGAGAAATTCTAAAATTCATTTTCGAGTTTTCATCCATATAATTGTGATCATTTTCAAAAATTAGATCAAAAATAATTTACTTGGTTTAAATGAAATTAGATAGTGAATAATTAACAAGAAAAAAAAATTAAAGAGTGTTACGTTATATATATAATATTTAAATAATTCTAATATTTGTTTGCAATTCTTTGAGGTATGATGACAAACACATTGAATGACTTAATCAAAAGTCGAGTTAAAATAATTTCTGGTGATGTGGCACTAATACGACTAGGTCTTAGCGAAGAGGAATATTTATTCCTAACATATGAGGTGGACATAGTAATTCATGCTGCTGCTTATGTTAATTTGATCTTCCCATATCAGGTAAACTGATATAATATTTCAGCATTAATTAAATAATCAACTCAGTCGATACTTGATAGAATTAAGCTTATGTACTATATTTATTATATAAGGAAATATGATAGAGCAATGCTATGGAATTTATACAACAAGATTTAAAGATTAACTATTACTTTTTACCTTTATACAACAAGGTAAAAAGTAATAGTTAATCTTTAAAAGTAAAATATGTTTATTATAGGCTCTACATGGCATTAATGTGTTGGGCACACGAAATATTTTAGATTTCTGCCATCAGAATAAAGTAAAACCACTCTATTATCTGAGGTAAATTTAATTGCTATGGATTAATTCCTTCTATTTGTGTTGATACCTAGAAAATTAGAATAGTCTAGAATAGAATAATTATACTATTTAGAAAAAATTTTTGACATTTGCTTGTAATTTTGCTCGATATTGCATGAATTACCGAAATCTAATTTTGTTGAGTGAATAATTTAAACTTAATTTTGTTGGATGAATTTTGAAAACTTTGATAGTTGAAATAAACAAAAAAATTGCAATTGTCTGCTGTTAATATATCAAAGAAGATTTGGCTGAATATGTAAATTTGATGTTTTAATTGTTTTATCTATTTTTCATTATTCATAAAATGTACTACAAATGATATCAGTTGGCAGTTCACAGTTTGCATTTTGCAGCACAGATGCAGTAATACCATCGAATTTAAAGGATGTTGATGAGGATATCACTAATGATGATGTGCAAGGAAAATTAATGAATGGTTATGCTCAAACTAAATGGGTAGCTGAGAGACTGGTAATTAATTCACAGGTACGAGGACTTCCGACAGTAATCTTTCGACTTGGTATGTTATTGTGAATTATTTATTACTTATTCCAAATGAATTTATTTACTTATGCTAAGTGCTTTGCTAACATAAATACTATGAATAAAAGTTTCTTCTAATTTGTTACCGTGGTTATAATCAAAAAAAAAAAAAAAAAAAAAAAGGAAAAGAAAAGAAAGAGAGTGATATGAGAGAAACGAGATAAACGATAGAATTGAACTAATTTCTAAAAGATAAGACTAGCAGTGATAATTAGACCCACGGTTATAGGAAATCAAGCAGCCTCAATGAGTACTGGTAGATGGAATAATCAAGACTTCATTTATTTATTAATTTTTTGCTCGATTCAATCCAAAATGGCTCCAGATTTAGATTGGGTGGTATGCTTTTTAATTATTTTTTTCATTTCATTTTTAATTTTTTTTTAAATTCTGATGCTAAAACTAATAATCTGGTTCAAAAAGTCATGCTTAATTATGCTTGGGATAAATAATTGCCTAAATCATCTTCAAAATAAATAACACGTACGAAATCACTGACGAAAAAACAGCCTGCAACGAAAAAATTGATTATGACGTTAATGACATTTAGCTCTCTTCCATTACAGGTAGAATTTACACCTGTCGACTTTACTTCATCATTTATAACACAAATTCTAACGAAAAGTTTTCGTGCTAGCATGGGAAAAATATTTCATTTAACGAACAGTAATGGGCCAACTTGGCGACAAATTGTCAATTGGATAAATGATTTTGGCATTCCAATGCGACTGATACCTTTGCAGCAATGGGTACAACTGTAAGTTGAAATGGGAAAAAAATTTGGTTGTAACATTGATAACGTCTAATTCTCTTCCATTACTGTTGAAGTTCCCATTTCACTTCGACCCCGAACCCTGAAGATATTATCAGTAAGGCAGTGTATATTCATCAGTTATAACTAATAAACGTTTGGTCTATATTAAAGGAAAAAGTCTTGAAATAATCAATCTAGGCAGGAAGGAATCTAAAAAATGAAGATTTTAGGATTAGTACGAATGAAGGGGCAGAATACCAACAGCTGCATAAATTACTTCAAGTGATGGTCAAGTAAGAACTTATTTGAAAAAATATTACATCTACTTTTAACATCAATTAATTTCCTTAGGAATTTCTCAAATGTTATTTTTGTAAAGTTATGCCATCTTTCTGAAAAGTTGGCCAGATGAGTAAAAGAGTCAAGATGACAAATAATTTATTAAAATTCCCATGCATCTCCCACTCATCATATTAATTATTTGGAATTGAAAGAATTATTCCTCCAAATGACCATAATTGCTAAATATAATCTCGAAACAATAAATACAAATGTCACAACAAAATTTTGTTGGAAAATTTTTATCGAAATTAAGAGTTATCGTATTACAGAGATGATACATTTTTCGGGGCACAATCAATGTATAAACGAACAAATACAGAAAAAGTACTGAAAGATATGGGTGGCACATATCCTGTAGTGACGAAAAGTTTATTCACCCATTGGCTTAGACTTATGGCTCAAAATAATTTCACAGGAATACCAACATCCACTCCTTTTGATAAGTTTTTTTTTTTTTTTTAAATTATGATTCATTAAGAAAGGAGATCAGTTGCTTAATTAAACTTGGATTCAGGGATTTTTTCTTTACTTTTTGAAGCTTTCTTATTGACATATTAAGTAGTAACAATTTTTGATAATTCGCTCTAAAGTTTTGGTTTTACTGATTGCATGAGAGTTTTCTGTTTCGCCTCAGGCTCTTCATATATCTGTTAAATTGGTTTCAGGAAAAGCAACAGTTGGGAAAGTCTGTATTGTAACAGGTGCAAGCACAGGTATTGGTGAAGCAATTGTTCGGGAACTTGCCTTAATTGGATATATGAAAGTGGTATTTTGTGCAAGGAGGCGAACAAAACTGATGGAACTAGTTAGCAAGTATGTTCTTATCTTCATAAGCATTTATAAGTTACCTAAAACTATACTCAATCATATCGACTGAATAAACATTGTTATGAAAGAATGATTAACAATTTTTGGTAAAATTAGACTGGAAGCTGAGGGATGTATGTCGAGTAATTTATTACCTGTGGCATGTGATATCACGCAAATGAGTGATATACAATTTGTGGTAAGTCGAGCTGTGGAAACGTATGGAACTATAGATGTACTAGTGAACAATGCTGGATGCATGTATTATGAAATGATGAAGAATGGGCCAACAAAAGTAAGTTAAATCAATCATTAATTCATTCAATAATTCCTCAAGCATTAAAGAAAGTAACTGTATTTATACCAAATGGTACTTTTTTGAGAAGGAATAATGAAAATGTAATTTAGGAATGGAATCTTCAAATAGATGTGAACTGTCGCGGTACAATGAATTGTATAGGAGCGGTGCTTCCGCATATGATCAAAGCTGGATCAGGACATATTGTAAATATAACATCTGATGCTGGAAAACGTGTAAGTTATGGTAGAAATTAAGGTTTCGTTTTGGAATAATAGTGTATGGTAATGAAAGGCATAAAATATTCTCTTGATTATATGACTTTTTTTACATCGAGAAGATTAGGGAGTTTCAATGGTGCATTCGAATCGATCATGCAAATTTTGGAATAATCTTTGTCTATAATATTTCCTGCAAAAAAAAAAAAGGAAAAAATCGTTCTTTATGTTACTATAATATTATAGCAATTAAGAAATGTTTGAAATAACAGTTCTTTAGTTGTATATTTTAGGGTTTTGCCGGATTAGCCGTTTATTCCGGAACTAAATTTTTCATCGAAGGCATGTCGCAAGCGCTGCGTCTAGAAATGGTTGAACATGGTATAAGAGTGACAAATGTGCAACCGGGTGATGTTGAAACGGAAATATCAAATTATTCCACTGATAAGGAAGTAAATAATTTTATACATTGCATTTCTTATGAACATAGTTCTATTATACTAATGAAATTTGAACTTCACTTGGCTACTTGCTTTTCAGGCATGCTCCAAATATGATGTATCCAAAGCAGGCCATCCAATTCTCAGTTCTTCTGATGTTGCTCGAGCAGTACTGTATGCAGTAAATCAACCATCTTCGGTTGCTGTCAACGAAATTCTTATTGAACCTCAGGCTACACCCATCTAATTAATTGTTGTTTATCATTTACAGTCTTGAATTTATACAGAATGTTTCAAATGCTTTGGGGATGCTTAATTTGTTTTTGGTGATATTGGGCTCAGATTGTTTCATTATTTAATTTCACAATATTTGGATAAACTGCTGAGATGTATTTTAATCTTTCCAATTCAACCAGCTAGCATATTGATATTATATTACTTCTTTATATCAGAAAATGTGGAATAAAGATTTCGTCAATAACTTAATGACGATTCCTCTGAAAATGACCTAAGTGATTGAGTAACTATTATTGCTATTTGACGAACTTCCATAACTTTCTACGCAAATTTCAAAAAATGCAAAGCTGAATTGTAGGCAAAATAAAAAAAAAAAAAAAATTTATCATTACGATCATTCGTACCCGTTTTCCATACGGTTTATACTAGCAATTAAATTTATGGTGCAGTTAACATGATCCGGATAGCAACTACCTTACTGATTTCATATCAATTTGAGGTTGAAAGACCAATTAGGATGCATGCAAACTGCACGTCTGTAAAGTTGATAATAACAATTGTTTCAAGGTCGAAATTGCAGTGATTTCTTTCAGCCGAATGATGACTCCACCGATATTTCGATTCAAATTCACAAATAATTACGAGTAAATATCAAGAAGCAAATTTTTTTTATTTTATCAAAATAAAAAGAAGTATAACTCCATGAGAAAGCACTATTCGTGCTTGAATTGGTTGAGTAAGAGAAAAAAAACTCGGATATGGATAGACTGAAATAATCTCTCAAAGAAGAAAATTGAAATTCAACTGCATCAGAATATCGGATATTTGAATTTCAAAAAGTAAGCTGAAGATAATAATAATAATATTGCTTGTTGTTGATACGATTACATTTAACCTTTTTTTTTTTTTGTTATGTGATCATTCAGTTGTAAATTACATGCAATTCAAGTTGATAGGGAGGTCAGAGGTAATCTTGTCAAATGTAATCTTATCTGAGGAGGCATAACAATAATAATAAGCATTAATGTTGTAGAACACTTTATTATTCTGATATAGTTATATTTCAATAAATTTTTTTTTTTATAATTTGCTTAGCAAGAGCGAAAAGAAATGCCCTTTTATAAGATACCCAGTGAAATGATTGACCTTCAGGCAGTTAGCAAAGTCCCCTTTGTCGTATAATACATGTAATATGAAGTATGTGTATATCTATCGTTCGGCACACCCATAATGTTAGGCCTTTCTTTTATCGAATATTTCTCCTCTCTTTCTCCTTCTTTCCCTCAATTTTCATCATTTTATCTACAACTAGCTTTCAGCTTCAAACTTTTTGCTTTACACATTTTTATGCTAACCAACCATATATGTATGTCATTCATTCTCTATTTATGTGACTTTTTCAGATCACCTTCTCTCCATGTAAGGGTGACTTTTGTCTCCTCTACTCGATATGTTGAAATTAACGTTTTACAGTGAATAAATCTCTTCAAAACAGTACCAGTATTCATTCATTGGCATTCTCTCTAATCTTTGTCTTCTGAAAGGCAACGATTGTGCAATATTGATTGCTATTCAGATCATTAAGTAGTTTTGCATAAGGAAGAATTTTAAAATAAATAAAGATAAAATTTAGAATTAGTCCATCTTATCATTTAATAATCATAATATTAAAAGATATATATGTATATGTAAAAGTAGCAATGCACATTTGTCATTCATCGATGAATTTATTCCAACCGATACTGTTTGAGTATCATATTTCTAAATCATTGAGAAAAGTATTTATGACCATATGTTTAGCTTAGCCGTAAGAAAAAGTGTTAATAAACACTTTGTTGAATAAATATTATAGCAAGTAAGCTGTGTTAATACTATTCGCTTCGTAATGCTAAGGCAAAAACTGCACGAGAAAAAACATTTGCAAATAGAAAAAATTAATTTATGCCGATGTTTTCTTCCGGTTTATAGTTAAGCTGCTTGGGAAAATCAACTAAAGTTGTCTGTTAAAAATTAGTAACATCTATGAGAAAAGATTACCCATGATAACACGGTCGATTATCGAACGATTAGACATTTATTAGTTATCATTGCAGTTATCATTTTACTATCATTACATTTTAATCAATTGCTCATCTAAAAAAAAAAAAAAAACTACATATTTTTGTGCCTTCACAAAGTCGAAAGTAAGGGAACTTCTACTGCTAAACTGAAATGTAACATTACGATGAATATCGAAAGCAATCATATTCTCCTCTGATTGTCAACGATAACATTCGCTAAAATGTTACTAAGTAAAGTTACATCCTTAACTGAAAGGGTTATTTCTTCTCAATATTATTCATTATTTATCCAAGTAGCTCTTTCTGTTATCAAAAGGTTGATAATGGTGATAAAAAAGTGGTAAAAATAGTAAGATGACAAATGACTTTTTTTTTCCAATAATTACATTATTTAGGAAATGTTGAATAGCCGCAAATTACTAATGCATAACGTATCTGACGTATAATTAAATAAATTAATATTAGGAGACATTTTCAAATTAAATTGCAATACATTTCATGATGATTTATGATAAGCAATGTTATCAGTAAATCATCAATGAAAAAAAATGTAGGAATTATAATGCTACCGAAGAGTTTTAGCTTTGACATTGTGTGATGACATTTTCTCTACGAACTGATACTTATATTCCTCAGATATCGACCATTAAAAACTCACTCAAAAATTTTGCTATCAATTATGTATCAGAAATAAAAAATTTTTTGCTGCAAATAATTTCACACATAAAAACCAAATCTGAGAAACATTTTCATCTTTTCTTTTTGTTCTTTTTTTCCTTTTCCATATCTTTCAGACAACTGGAAATTTGTAGTAACAATTGTCCTTCACTCAAATTTTAGCCGTAACATAAGTTTGATGAATGTGATGATAGCCACTATCGTACAGAATTTCATAGATAGAGTAGTAAACCGTTTCAAAGTACACATCCAGATGTTGCTACTCTTTGTTGTGCTATAATGATGTAAGCATTGATGATAGATCAGAAAATAGTTATCCATTTTCTGCTCTTTCTGCTTTACAAATTGATTCATCATTTCTCATATTTCTCAGTGCCGGATACGCTCATTTCATTCATCCTTACTACTACCGGTTTTTATTTTTTTTTATTGTTACTGTTGTGTTTGTTGTTGATGTTAACGAAAATTAACGAAAAATTGAAATACAGTTAAAGTTAACTTTTGAAGAAGAATCAAAAAACGAAAAAAAAGATATGCGACAAAGAAGGTGGAATAATTTGAAATGAAGCATTGTAGCGGCATTTAAAGGATGACTTCAAACATGATTTTGCTGACATATCCATTATATTCAATTATCTCTGTGGTGATAGCTTACAATAAACATGAGGTAAGTACATTTCCTTATCACTGATTTTTTTGTTATTATAGTTGAAATTAATTGCGTTATTGGAGGTATTTCGAAATCTGGAAAGCATTGAAAAAGTGATAAAAGAAAAGGAATTTAATTCGAAGGTTGAATAATTTGAAGTAAAACATTAAAATACTTCCGTAGGTTGGAAAATGAAATCCATCGATGAACTTACTGTAGCAATAGTAAATCGGCGGGTATATTTCAGATTGAATATTTGCAAGAATTTGGTTATTTGCCCAAACCAACGCAAGATGTTGCGGCAATGTTTAGCGAAACAATGATAGAAGAAGCAATCCGAGAATTGCAATTGTATGGAAATATACCAGTCACTGGGAAATTTGATACTGCTACTGAAGAATTACTGTCTAAGAAAAGGTAGATGATACAGTTTTCAAATGAAAAGTGCTCTTTTGTTAAAAGAAAAAAGTTTGCAAAAAAAATATTACTTCATTCATTTTAGATGTGGCTTGAGTGATCGTCCAATTCAAGTACTTCGTAAAAAACGATTTGCTTTAATGGGACCAAAATGGACTAAACAAATTATCACTTACAGGTAAATTCTTTTTATACTTCTGAAAGTGATTTTTCCTGCAGATTTATCAACCATATTTTGATAAGAACTGATGCTGATTATCACTCTCTCACTCCCTTTCTCTCTCTCTCTCTCTCCATACATATACTGCATTTCTCTAATATACAAAATTTAAAAGCAATTCACAAAAACTGATTGGTAATTATTGGTAACTTTCGAAGATCAAATTTAACTTCTTGTTAACAATCATTTTTGGAACTTTCCCTACAAATGAGTCACCGAAATATTTTTCAATGAAATCATAGTATGTCTCTTTACACTTCCCATTTAAATCTATAAAAAATTTCAAAGAAAAAAAAGAATTTAAAATAAAAATGACTATGAAAAATTGCTGCCAAATCCTTGGTCAGAGTTGTTGGAATGTATAGAAATAATACGTCAATAAGTAAGTCATTATAATAATATTATAGTAACATTATTATTAATATTATTATTGACATAGAGTATTACTACTAAATCCTCCAATAGTAGTAGTAGTTAGTAGTTAGTAATAGTGGCTCTAAGTTGAGGGTAGTGGTGATTATTATTATTATATTGGATTTCTTTGTCATCAGACTTATTCAGATCATTGATTTATCAGTGTTTAAAAAGAATTCTTATAGAAAGACAAATTTGATTATATTGTAGAGGCGCAATTGGTGAGTCATTTTGTAAGGGAAGAAGAAGTCCGCATTGTATTTACAAATGAGTATGCAAAGGTAGGAAGGAAGTTCTTTTGATGTGATGTCTGTCTGTCAGCGCGCTTTTATTTGAAAAATTTCAATTAAGCAAAGGAAATGAAAACATTCAAAAATGTAAACTATACTGAGTTATAATTTTGCTAAAGCTATCAAACTTGTTGCTTAATTTGTTTTAAAGTAATAAAAATGCTGTAAAACTTCACATCTAAACTTTTAGATCTAAATCTAAAGTTTAATAAAGAATAAAGAGAAAGAAATAGAGGGAAAAAGATAGAGAGGAAGAAAAAGAGAGGGAAGAAAAATGGTGCA